GCAAACCATCAAATAATATAATATAAATTGTAGGGATTGGCCTACACGGTTTCAAATAAAAAGTTGTACAAATAATTCAGTCTAATACCATGGGTCTTTTATGTGCGTTGCTGTTGGTCTTTTTCACACACTATAGTTGTCAAGCTTTCATGTTGTTGGATTGTTTTATAGAAAAATATTCTTTCCTTTACATTCTCTGTCTTCTCATGACTTGTGAAAAAATTACCTTTCGTTCACATGGATAAGGGAGAATTTCAGAAACTACCCCACACTTTTTGCTAATAAAAAATTATAACACTTTTTTTGAGATAGTAAAAAAACCACCCCTGAGCCCTAACTCCACTAAGTCTGTTAACTTGCAGTTGAAATTTATGAGAAATTACTATTTTATCCTCACTTTCATTTATTTGATATTGTTTTTGCTATTTCCAAGATTGAAACCAAGCCCTTCTAGTTTTTGATTCAAAACCTAAAAAATGTATAAATAGCTCCGTTCGTTTAGTTATTTAGAATAGCATTCTATTCTAAATAGGATTTTTGGAAAATAGAATAAGATTCTGAGAATGTTTTTTTTTGTATATTTTTGAAAATATTTAGATTTTTTTAACCCCTAGTTTTATAATTTAACTAAACACTCCCCAACAATAAAAGTTTATAATTGATAAAGCACCCCACCAACCCAACTATTGCCGGCAATGGCCACCACTGTTGGACGGTGGCTGAAAGCCGCTAGGATAGTGCATGACTGGCTGGTTGTGCACTGATTTGACTTTCTGGCAAAATCCCAGAAACAGCTAGATCTACGACCACAGATCAACCATGATGATTAGATCTTGTTGTTGTTGACGGCCTATTTGACTGTCGTTTGACAATCAATGACGGCCGAGGTATGCCCGTCAACGGCCTTAGATTTGGCCAAAAACAGACAGATGATGCACGATTGACCATACCAATCAATTGTGCGTTGTTATGATGTCAATAGTGTACGCACATGGTTGTGCGACTGTTGGCAGTGATAGTGGCTTGGGTGGGTGGGTGGGTGGGGATGTTATTCTTAATTTTAAATCTCTTATTGAGAAAGTAATTGTTAACATTTTGAGTTGAATAAAATATGATTGAATTTTGAAGAATAGTAAAACAAACTCTTTTTCATTTTTAGGATAGGATAGTGGGAAATTAGTGTCCAAATGTAGGGGTATATATTTGTCAATTTTACATAACTTATTATACAAACTAAAAAAAATTTAAAAATATCCTTCACACAGATATTAAACTGGCTAAAGTAGTGAATCAAGTTCAAATCACGTGGGAAGAGAAAAACTTTTTATCACATTTAATGAGAGTGAGGGCAAAATAGAATTCTTATAAAAGAATTTAAGTTGCAGGTTATAGATTTGGATGGCGTTAGGACTTAGCTTGGGGCTAGTTTTTGAATATTCCTACAAAAGTGTCATAGTTATCATTAGCAAAAAGTGAGGGTTAGTTTAAAATTGTCCCCATTCAAAATTCTCATGTCCCTTCTACGCAAATTTAATTTATGAAAAGGAGACATTCATGTTTTCGTGATTCATGTGTGTCTTCTATCATATCATACTTGGAATTATGATATGATAGAACACACCAATCAAATAATAGATGATATAAATTAAGGATGGCCTACACGGTTTCAAATAAAAAGTTGTACAAATAATTCAATCTCTTACCATCGGTCTTTTATGTGCTTGTTGTTGTTGGTCTTTTTCACGCACTATTAGTTGTCAAGCTTTTCACTTTGTTGGATTGTTTTAATAAGAAAAATATTCTTTCCTTTGCATTCTTCGCTCTCTATGACTGTGAAAAAATTGTCCTTTCGTTCACGTTTAATATGGGAGAATTTCATAAACTACCCCACACTTTTCACTAATAATAAATTATTACACCTTTTTGAGAAATAGTAAAAAACCACCCCTAACCCTAACTCCATTCAATTTGTTAACTTGCAGTTGAAATTTAAAAAAATACTATTTTATCCTCACTTTGTAGCATTTGAAATTGTTTTGCTATTTCCAAGATTGAAACCAAGCCCTTCTAAGTTTTTGATTCAAAACTCTAAAAAATGTATATATTTGTCATTTTTATATAACTTATTATACAAACTAAAAAATATTAAAAATATCATTCACACAGATAAATTAAATTGGCTAAAGTAGTGATCAAGTTCAAATCATATGGGAAGGAAAAACTTTTATCACATTTAATGAGAGTGAGGGCAAAATAAATTTTATAAAAAATTTAAGTTGCAAGTTAATAGATTTGGATGGCATAGGACTCAGCTCGGGGATGTTTTTGAATATTCCACAAAAGTATCATTAGTTTATCATTAGCAAAAAGTGAGGGGTAGTTTATGATATTCTCCCATTCAATATTCTCACGTCCCTATACGCAAATTTTAATTTATGGAAAGAGACATTCTGTTTGTCCGTTCTCTAGCTAAGTGGGCCTCCAAGAAACTTTTTAGTGGCCCTTTAGCGAATTTGGGCTTCTTGCAAAATCTCACATGGGCTCTTGCAAAAATTCTAAACTCTATTTCTTATACATTATATTGCCCCAAAATTGAAGTTTCTACATAACTAAAAAAATAAAAATTAGACCTTCCAATTTCTGGAGGGATAACACCTTCAATTTGATTTAAAATAACCAAAATATCTGTTGCATACCTTTAAGATAATTACTAGACAGAGAAAGCAATTTGAGCTTAGTAAGAGAACAAATTTTTGATAAAATGCTTCCATACGGATAATTCCATGTAAGATTGAGGCCTTCTAGGTTTGGAAAGCAAGAAAAGTTTATTTGGCTAAACCCTAAACTCTTTGCCTATGTAAATAGTTATAAATCTATCACAATGATACTTCCTTGTGAATTGCAGGTGATACCAATCCACTTGTAATGATTTGAAGTATTCTTGGTCATGCCAATGTTACTCCACCAACTGGAGATAAATAGGGCATCCTTTTCTAATGGTAGCCCATATTACCACCACTCTACAAGTGAAGGAAGTAAATGCCATGTTTAAAATCTGTGTGGGCCAAAAATCGTTTTGGGCCTTATTAGACCCAAACAAGAAACATCTACTATGTGACCTAAGGCCATGACTCAATTCCGGTTGGGCCTACGCTAAGATCCGCAACATGGGCCAACCCATTGCACCAACCAGGCTACTTACGAATTGGATCCTCCAATCACTAAGGTCTTACCCTCAATTAGGCCTCGCCGTTAGTCCACTTGGGCTTAGGCCCACCAGCCATGGTCATTCCAAAGAAGCTAGAGGTCTATTCATATCCTAATTTATCTAAGATTTTGAATCTTGCATGAATTAAGACTTTTACTCCTACAAAAAAAAGTAAATCAGGACTTTCCTATTGACTCAAATTCCGCCATTATGAACTCAGAGTTCTACTAGGACTCAAGCCCCTTGGGCTCCCTATATAAATAGAGGCCAGTCCTTTCATTATGCATTCATTATTCAACACTACCTACTAGCTCCTAAAGTTCTTACTGCTAAGAACCACCATCACCTTCACCGTAGTTCTACTCTTCGAAAAGACTCGGATAACCTTTCCTCCCCTTAACCCTCATTAAATTGCTCTTTTCAGTCTAGCTGACTTGAGCATCAGAGTGCCTACGACAGATACCACACCGGTGTCCCCCGTGAGCGTCATGCTTACCTTTTTTGGGTGTGCAAGTCCAACAGATCGTCAGTGGCCTCAACCTCAGAGGATCAGTCTGTTCCGTAATCGTAGATTTTATTGTCTACAAAATCTTATGTTGATTCAGCTAGATGCTTTCTACCTGAAGCTAGATACTCTTTTTGATAGAATATGTCTTGCCTCAGGCCATGTCTCATTTTTATTACAAGTTCTAGCTCATTTTTATTTAAGAAAACTTGGACCTTAATAAACATTACTAGAATTAAATTATGATAGACAGCTAGAGTCAAAGTGGATATTATTTTATTAGAAAATCTTCAAAATAACATTTTTCTAATCTTTATTTTCTTATAACCTCACAATAATATTGAGAGAATAAAAGCAATCAAGAAATTAAGTATAGAGAAAAAAAATCAGATTATAGTTGAACTCTTGGAGAGTTAAAAGAACTAAAGAAAGAAAGTTGTACTAAGGCTAGATGTTAGTTTGCAAAGTTGGATGATTGAGAAGAAATGTATATACATAGAAGTTTGAGTTTTAGAAATGTATAAACATATACGTTGAGTTAGTAAATAAAATTGAAAAGTGTAGATGCTTGAGCAGAAACTACATAGCTAACAGAGGCACTAGAAGGCAAAACAGTCTTTATACCAAATGGTCCTTATATTCTCATCATATCATCGTGAAAATCCTAACTGGTCAACCAGGCCTATTGTCAGTCCACCATAGATGTTAGTTTAGACTCAAAACTAAATATTAATTAAGCACCAAGAAAAAAGAGTTATTTTGTCCCTGTTTACTTCATTTTGTAACCTTAAAAGTCTCGGTTAGAAAATGGGTTAGTTTTGAACATGAAAAAAAATTAACCGAGGAAGATTCTTGGTCATTTGTTGTGCTAATTTCTCTTTCCCTCTCAGTTTGGGCTTAAAGCTTTATTTTGAGAATCTCTAGCATCTTTATTTTGTTGAGATAAGCAAATGGATATGGGTGTTTATTCCTGCTCAAGTTTCTTCTCTTTTCTTTCATATCTGCATTCTTAATTAGTTCTTTCCTGTCAAAAGTCAAATCTTAAAGAATTCATTTTCGCATAAGATTAATTTAAGCTAACAAATCTTTTTACACTTGATCTTTTCATTTTGTTCATTAATCAAATAAATTCAACTATTCAATTTAGACTCAAAAAATACATTATGACAACAATTTCTTGAGGTCGAACGACTGTAAAAAAGTTTTAGTTACTCTTTGAACATTAAAAAACTGTATATATTAAACGAAATCCATGACTTTTCTAAATGTAAATTTTATATTTGCACATGAAAAGATACTTTATTATATTTAAAAAAAAATAAAGGCTACATTAAGAGAAGAAACCTAAAAAGATAGGCCAAATAAAAGATCTATTGCTACATAACAGTGAAAGACCTCCATGCCTAACCCTCTGATTCACCAACTGCATATATATTTTGGTTTCTCATCTCTGAGATGGAAATCTCATGAAAAGGTTTTTCCAATGGTGTCTTGCGGCCAAGAAATTCATGAGACACACGATGCATTGTCGGTCGTGACTTTGGTTTAGAACTTAAGCAAGCAAATGCAATTCTTGAAATAAGAGCAATATCCTGCACGACCATTGTGTCCGCAAGACATGGAAGGCGTGGGTCTAAGAGATCAATAAGCATCATATTTTGATTAGGAGAAGATGATAATGATGAAAGTAGTTCTCCTGGATGACGACCCATCAATACTTCAAGTGCCACCATTCCAAAACTATAAACATCACATTTCTCAGTTACAACCATGGTGTAAGCAAGTTCTGCACAGAAAATTAGAAATCCTTAAGAAATAATAAGATTCTTTCATCTAATTTACTTTGAAGCAATTAGTGTCAAAATGTTAGGTTTATATAGATTAAAAAGATGTTGCTTCGCTTATAAGAGTCACAAATATTTATGAGGAGAGTAACTAAGTACTTCACCTGGGGCTATATATCCATAAGTTCCGACTAATATGGTTCTATTGGAAGAGTCGGGATGTAGAAGTCTAGCCAACCCAAAATCAGCAACAAATGCTTCCAATTCAGAGTTTAGTAGAATGTTGTTGCTTGATAGGTCACGGTGAACGATTGATGGAGTGCAGTCATGATGTAAGTAAGACAAGGCATGCGCAATATTCTTAACAATGTTTACCCTCCTACTCCAATCCAACTCAATAGCTTCATTGTTGTTGCGTAGAACACAAAACAAGCTTCCCCTCTCCATGTACTCATAAATTAAAAACATGCATTTTTTATGTAAACAAAATCCATAAAGCTTAATAACATTTCTATGTCGTAATTTGGACAGTACATGGGCCTCGTTTTGGAAACTGTTGAGGAAAGTTGACTCCTCAGTTTCTAAACTGTGAAGCTTCTTCAAAGCAACTACTCTGCGATTTGGTAGTTGTGCCCTGTAAACACTACCATAACCCCCAGTTCCAATGCAGTATTTGATGTCAAAGTCCTCTGTTGCTTCAATCATGTCTTCAAATGCAATTTTACCATCATAATTCCAAATTGAAAACACATCTCCAACCTTGGTTGTCCTTTTCTCGGGTTTAGGTTTTTCATCCTTACATTTAAGGAGAATCAAAAATCCAAAAAATAAGATGGTGAGAAATGTTGTGATAGGAAGCAAAATTTTAAGAAAAGGAGAGACCTTCTTTTGGTGACAAGCGGAAAAGCCTTTATCAACTAGGCCACATAAACCTTTGTTACCACTAAATTGTTGCTGTCCTTGAGATTGCAAACCAATTGGAATTTCACCCTCCAAATTATTGTATGACAAGTCAATGTAATACACTGTCTGGAGTGATTTAGGGATGGTTCCAGAAAGATGATTGTGCGAAAGATCTATATGCAAGGATTGCCTGGCATGAATTTCTCCAAGTTGAGAAGGTATGTTCCCAGTGAGTGAGTTATGTTGCAAATAAAGACGAGTAAGACTTTGAAGGTTTCTAATCTCTGATGGAATTAATCCAATAAAATTGTTATCAGACAAATCCAAAGAGATCAATTTGCTCAAATGACCAATAGTTGAAGGGATTGTTCCAACGAGTTTATTTAATGAGAAATCCAATCTGTTGAGATTGCTCAACCTTCCAATCTCTGGAGGGGAATAATACCTTCAATTTATTAGCCAAATAAAAAAAAAAAATTGAATTTAATTGGATTACCTCTTATTCAAAATGATAAATGATAACCAAAAAAAAAAAAAAAAAAAAATCAGAACGTACCTGTAAGATTATTATGGACAAGGAGAGGAATTTGAGCTTTGAAAGTACACCAATTTGTGATGGAATTGTGTCCGGAGAGAGAAGTATTTACGATACTGAAAATTTTAAGGTTGGGAAAGCAAGAAAAGTTTAATCGGCTAAGCTCTCTTCTATTTATGATGAGGGTACCAAAGATCTATATAAAAGATGCTTCCTGCTGAATTGCAAGCGATACCAAACCATTTGCAATGATTTGAAATATTGTTGATGGGATCCCACCAATTGGTGTTAAGTAGAGCTTCTTTTTCTAATGTAAAGATGATAGCTCAGATGCTGCTAAAACTATATTAGAAATATTAATAGCACAAACATGTAAAATAGATAACACATAAATCAACACTCTAGAAGTGAAGGAATTTAACACATGTTAAAAACCTTATGCTTGGTAAATATTCTTTCTACCTGAAGCCAGATTTAGTATATATAAGTTTGAAGTAGCAAACACTCCATTTAATTGATCTTGCCAAGCTGTGTCAATTTTTTTTTTTTTTTTATTAAATTCTACCTCTTTTTGACAAAGAGTTTATTTTTATTGTAATTTTGCCTTTTTGACTTGAGAGCCATTTTTTACACATAATTTTTTACCTCTTTTTGACTTAAGATGCCTTGGACAATAAACACTCTACAATAAACAAGTCTTGTAGTATATTAGTTATGACATATAGTCTGAGTTAAAGTCTTTTGGTTTTTTTGTTTTCCAGGAACGAACGTGGGAGGTTGTCAATTGTGACAATTCATTATAATTTGGAATATATATATATATATAGTAAATCCTTTATAAGAATATAAATTAAATGTCTCTATTCAGATGTCATATTTTTACCTACAGATGCATATTTATTGTTCAGAAAAAATTACAATGAATAAACTTTTTAATCAATAAGAACAAAAGAATACTATTATTAAACTTACAAAAAAAAAAAAAAAAAAAAAAAACAAAAAAAAACAAAAAAGGTAATTAAGAAAGAGAACTAACCAAACTAGAGATTAATAATAAAATGAAAATTTATTGTAACTTTTCTTGCGTCTATGATTTATAAATCTTCAAAATACATTTTTCTAATTTTATTTTCTATAACTCAAATATAATATGGAGAGAATCAAAGGAATCAAGAAATTAAGCCTATGAAGGAAAGTTGGACTAAGTCTAGTTAGTTTGTAATGAATTAAAGTGGATGATTATGAAGAGATGTATAAACATAGAAGTTTGAGTTTTAGAAAGTAAAAGATACATATTCTAATTAATTAATAAGAATAATAAATCTCTCGAATTTAATGAAAATAAATAGAATAAATTTACCAATTATTAAATGCAAAGTAAATGAATCATTATGGTCCATCTATATAAGTTAATAATTGATAATACAAATGGTAAGGATTGGCCTACACGGTTCAATAAAAAATTGTACAAATAATTCAGTCTCATAACATAACGTTGCTGCTGGTCTTTTTCACATAGTATTAATTATCAAGCTTTCACGTTGTTGGAATATTTAATAAGAAAAATTATTCTTTCATTTACATTCTTAATCTCTCCATGACTTGTGAAAAAATTATCCTTTCGTTCACATTAATATGGGAGAATTTTAAAACTACCCCACACTTTTTGCTAATAACAAACTTTGATACTTTTTAGAGAAATAGTAAAAACCCCCCTGAGCCTAACTCCACCAATTCCATTGTAAACTATAACAAACTTCAGCTCAAGCAGTTAAAGTTTTCGTTTCTTAGATAACAACACATTTTGTATTTCTCTCCAACAAACTGCAAGGGGATCAAAATCAGTTGAACAAGTTGACAAGGTGCGGCTGAAACTATTATGCAAGTTGACAAGTGCGGCTGAGATGTCTGTGAACAGGGATTGTCTGTCTTCTTTTCTCTATAAATGTAGACGTAAGACAAATGTAAGTGGTGAAAAAATACAATGCTTCAATCCTCTTTTTCAAAGCTATTCTTACTCTCTGTGTTTCTGAGTTTTTGTTCTATGTTTTTTTAGCGTTTATACCATTAACTTGCAAGTTGCAATTTACAAAAAAAATTACTATTTTGTCCCAGTTTCATTATATTTGAATTTGGTATTTCCAAGATTCAAACCCAACCCTTCTAAGTTTTCGATTTAAAACTCAAATATAAGGTATTAAAAATATTTTTATAACTTATTATACAAACTATAAAAAAAAAAAAAAAAAATAAATTAACTATTAAAAATATTATTCCAACATATAACATAAATTGGCTAAAGTAGTGAATCGAGTTCAAATCATATAGGAAGGAAAATTCTCCCCATTCACATATAACACATATAACATTTAATAAGAGTGAGGGCAAAATAGATTTTTGATTATGATTTGGATGGCGTTAGGACTCAGGGCTAGTTTTTGATTATTTCCTACAAAAGTGTCATTAGTTTTTCATTAGCAAAATGTGAGGGGTAGTTTATGAAATTCTCCCCCATTCAATATTCTCACGTCCCTTATACGCAAATTTTAATTTATGAGAAGGAGGCAATGATGTTTGTCGTGATTCATGTGTCTTCTATCATATCATACTTGGAATTATGATACGATACAACAAACCAATCAAATAATAGATAATATAAATTGTAGGGATTGGCCTACACGGTTTCAAATAAAAAGTTGTACAAATAATTCAGTCTCATACTCATTGGGTCTTTTATGTGCTTGTTGCTGTTGGTCTTTTTCACACACTATTAGTTGTCAAGCTTTTCATGTTGTTGGATTGTTTTATAAGAAAAATTATTCTTTCCTTTACATTCTATGTCTTCTCTGTGACTTGTGAAAAAATTATCCTTTCGTTCTCATAGGATAAGGGAGAATTTCAGAAACTACCCCACACTTTTTGCTAATAGCAAAATTATAACACTTTTTTTGAGAAATAGTAAAAAAACCACCCCTGACCCTAACTCCATCTAAGTCTGTTAACTTGCAGTTGAAATTTATGGAAAATTACTATTTTATCCTCACTTTCATTATATTTGATATTGTTTTTGCTATTTCCAAGATTGAAACCAAGCCCTTCTAAGTTTTTGATTCAAAACTCTAAAAAATGTATAAATAGCTCCGTTCGTTTAGTTATTTAGAATAACGTTCTATTCTAAATAGGATTTTTGAAAAATAGAATAAGATTCTGAGAATGTTTTTGGTATATTTTTGGAAAATATTTTTTGAAAATATTTAGATTTTTTTAACCCCTTAAGTTTATTAATTTAACTAAACACTCCCCAACAATAAAAGTTTATAAATTGACAAAAGCACCCCCACCAACCCAACTATTGCTGACAACCGACCACCACTGTTGGACGGTGGCTGAAAGCCACTAAGATAGTGCACGACTGGCTTGATCTGGCTGGTTGTGCACTGATTTGGCCTTTTCTGGCCAAATCCACGGAAACAGCCAGATTTACGACCACAGATCTAGCCATCGATGGTTAGACCTAGTTATCGTTGACGACCGTATCTTGACTATCGTTTGGCAATCAATGACGGCCAAGGTATGCCATCGTCAACGGCCTTAGATTTGGCCGAAAACAGACAGATCGATGCACGATTGACCATATCCAATCAATCGTGCGTTGTTATGATGTCAGCAGTGGTAGCGGCAATGGTTGGCGGCGACTGTTGGCAGGTGATAGTGGCTTGGGTGGGTGGGTGGGGATGTTATTCTTAATTTTAAATCTCTTATTGAGAAAGGTAATTGTTAACATTTTGAGTTGAATAGAATATGATTGAATTTTGAAGAATAGTAAAACAAACTCATTTTTCATTTTTTAGGATAGGATAGTGGGAAAATAGTGTGCCAAATGTAGGGGTATATATTTGTTATATTTTACATAACTTATTATACAAACTATAAAAAATATTAAAAATATCCTTCACACAGATAAATTAAATTGGCTAAAGTAGTGAATCAAGTTCAAATCATGTGGGAAGAGAAAACTTTTTATCACATTTAATGAGAGTGAGGGCAAAATAGAATTCTTATAAAAGAATTTAAGTTGCAGGTTAATAGATTTGGATGGCGTTAGGACTTAGCTTGGGGCTAGTTTTTGAATATTTCCTACAAAAGTGTCATTAGTTATCATTAGCAAAAAGTGAGGGTTAGTTTATGAAATTGTCCCCATTCAAAATTCTCATGTCCCTTCTACGCAAATTTTAATTTATGAAAAGGAGACATTCATGTTTGTCGTGATTCATGTGTGTCTTCTATCATATCATACTTCGAATTATGATATGATAAGAGCACACCAATCAAATAATAGATGATATAAATTATACGGATTGGCCTACACGGTTTCAAATAAAAAGTTGTAAAAATAATTCAATCTCATACTCATCGGGTCTTTTATGTGCTTCTTGTTGTTGGTCTTTTTCACGCACTATTAGTTGTCAAGCTTTTCACTTTGTTGGATTGTTTTATAAGAAAAAATATTCTTTCCTTTGCATTCTTCGTCTTCTCTATGACTTGTGAAAAAATTGTCCTTTCGTTCACATTTAATATGGGAGAATTTCATAAACTACCCCACACTTTTCACTAATAACAGAATTATTACACCTTTTTGAGAAATAGTAAAAAACCACCCCTAAGCCCTAACTCCATTCAATTTTGTTAACTTGCAGTTGAAATTTATAAAAAATTACTATTTTATCCTCACTTTGGTAGCATTTGAAATTGTTTTTGCTATTTCCAAGATTGAAACCAAGCCCTTCTAAGTTTTTCATTCAAAACTCTAAAAAATGTATATATTTGTCATATTTTATATAACTTATTATACAAACTAAAAAAATATTAAAAATATCATTCACACAGATAAATTAAATTGGCTAAAGTAGTTAATCAAGTTCAAATCATATGGGAAGGAAAAACTTTTATCACATTTAATGAGAGTGAGGGCAAAATAGAATTTTTATAAAAGAATTTAAGTTGTAAGTTAATAGATTTGGATGGCGTTAGGACTCAGCTCGGGGATAGTTTTTGAATATTTCCTACAAAAGTATCATTAGTTTATCATTAGCAAAAAGTGAGGGGTAGTTTATGAAATTCTCCCCATTCAATATTCTCACGTCCCTCATACGCAAATTTTAATTTATGAGAAAGAGACATTCATATTTGTCGTGATTCATGTGTGTCTTCTAGTTTGCTTAATTTGAACATGAAAATAAATTTAATGATATATATAAGTGTGTTTCGTGAGATAGGCAACTGGAGATTGGCATTGGATATCCCTCCTCTATTTTAATTTTTTTTCTTTTTGTTTTGAATATTGATGGAGATTTTTATATATACTGAATAGAAAGTGTATTGCCGTTTCGTTTGATTGCTTCTTACTTTAGACTTTTAAATCAATTTTCTATATATAAAAGCAGGAAAGGTCTGAGAAAAACATATGCAGGCATGCTATCAGAAATCAAGATTCACGCATTTTAGTTTATATACTATGAGGCAGTGCGTCAAAAAGTTTACAATATTCGTCCATTTTTTCTTATTATCTTTCCTAATTTTTCCAATTCATGTCTCCTAGTTACAGTTCAAGGGACTTTTCATTCACTTAAGGGCGACCGCTCCTGCATGGAAAGATATAAAATATTAAGGAAGGAGAGGAATAAAAAATCATGTGTTAGAGCAATGCAGTTTCCAGTTACTTGCTTTCCAGCTGTAGTGATATATAAATGTATTTCACCTTTTGTTGTGTTACATATGTAGTTAAAAATTTATTAAAGCTTCTCGGCTTTGTTTTGATTGGCAAATGGAGAAAGCTAAGGTTGGTTTTTTCCAGGATGCGAACTTCTTTGACTTCTACGACTTCTTCTACGATTTTCTGGGATCTGTAACTTGTATTAGTAACAGATTTAATGATAATAAAAAAAGGTTTCCTGAAGTAATTTTTCGATATTATTAGGCTTTGTACATGTCTCACAATATCACTGTAACAACACTAATCGATCCAAAATATTAAGCAATAAGAAGAAATAATAATGTCATCCTATCTTTTTACCTCATTTTGTTCCTTTTGAAGTCTCTCGTTAGAAATTGGATTAGTTTTTAACTGATTTTCTTTGTGCATATATTATTTTATCAATTATATCTTAATTTACCAATCATAAGCGGCAATGATTCTGAAATCGAAAAGATGCTTCTGTAATGGGAAAATAACTCTTCGTGTGAGTGAGATAAATGAGATGAAATTTTATTGTTGAGTTAACTCAGAAGAGTCACTACTACTGGAAGAAAGAGAGAATAGGATGAGAGCTAAATGAGTTTTAGAGAATAAAATAATAATTGCAACTACTTTTGTGTGACTTTTTATATCTGTTTATGTGTTTATTAACAGATATAGAAGAAGAAGAAGAAGAAGAAGAAGAAGAAGAAAACCCATATTGAAAGAGAACTTGAAAGCCATTCAATATAAGATTGAATGACATCTCTAATATTGATACCCATTGGGAATTTCTTTCCTGTATACTTTGTTTATCAACAAAAATCAATGCCATTAATTTTTTTTTAATATATATATATATATATATATATTTTTTTTTTTCTTCAACTTCCCCTTTTGATTTTTTTGGTTTATTAATCCCTTTCCTTTTTTATCACATCCTTTGTTTCCATCCCTTTTTGATAGAATTTGAGGTGGACCTGATTCGTCACTCAATAAGGTCTTGTTGAATGGGGGGATTGCCTACTCTCCCTCACGGTCAAGCCCATATGTTGGATCATGCCTGTTATTGGAGATAGTTGTCGGCTCCTTTAACTCCTCACCCGCTGGTCAAGTACTCAACTCAACTGAACCTGGCTCTGATACCATGATAGAATTTCAGGTGAGTCTAACTCCTTTCCCAATTAGGTCTTGTTGAATGAAATGATTAACCCTTCTTATAAATCAATAGGCTTGAGCGTGGTTAGTTGGTGTGGGACTCCAACACTTTTAATTCAAGGTTCATTTGTTTAAAAATCTGACACCAATCAACTGAGTAAAACACCAATCAACTGAGTTTACAGTTAAAATTAAAGTATATAAGAAATTAATAATTTAATAAACTCTGTATACACCACATTGGAAGTCCAGCTACTATACACCATATCGCACGTCCAGCTATAGCTATACACCATATGTGTTTCATTTATTGTCACACTCTTAACAGCGTGTAAACATTTTCTTGTTTAACTACTTGGTTTCATTTGTTTTGGAGCTTTTAAGTTTAATTTGCTTTATATTTTTGTGGCTTGTGGGGTTGGTTTGTTTTCTAATACAGTTGGTTTAAACGATCAAAGTTTGGATCTTTACTCTTTTATGGTTGATGGGTAATAAATTTGTTAGCTTTAGAAGTTGGATGCTTGTTTTCTTTGAATGAAGCCAAATAAGCTCATAATTTAAGTGTGTGCAATATAATGCCTATAGCAGCATTAGTTTCTTCCTTCAAACACATTAAATTCCCCAGATTTATATCATCTTTTGGCGAATTCTGGGAAGTGAAGTGACTGTATAAGATGGCTAAAATAGAAATCGAATGATTTATCTATTATTTTCATAAATAACGAAGAAGAACCAACTACACAGAAGCAAAAAAGCCAAAGTTCTGGTTATCTTTGCATAAGGTTACATGCTAATAAAGCCACAAGAGGGTGATAGAAATAGCTCTGTTATACTCCTTTCCACTGAGAACAATATAAATACCGATTCGTAGTTTTAACCAGAACAATTAGCATTTTGTTATAAAAAGAAGAATTGTGCTTCGAGTAGTTTATATAATCAAGCCATGTCCAATTTTGTTCTGTACACTTCATGTTTCGAAACATGTCCAAGTTCCCGCGACGAGATATTTCCTCGGAAGGACCCCTGCCGATCTCCGGGATATGTAACTGCTGTCTCCCTGTGGCAATACAAAGTTAGATTAGGCATACAAGTAAACAAAAACAGCACTAACACAAAAGATGGTTTCATGCAACATGAGAACATAAAAGTTCAAACCTCCATGTCTCGATATCCGTGATATAGATAAACCCAGCAACATTGCTGTAGTGAGAGAGATGATGATAAGAAATTATGGAAGAATCATGAATAAAACGCACTAATCATAGTATGAAATATATAGGATCCCTGTTACAAGGTCTTAGGAATAGCTTAGTGCCAATTCATCATAAGACTAATTGCAGAGAGTAATTGTCTATATTATATTAATGTCATGATCATGGCAATACAAGGTAATAGGTATGATAATTGTTATGCCAGGTTAGGTGGATGCTAAAAGTTAAGAATATAGTGTTTATCATTCCACAATGTAAGAATAACCTTGATATAATCTCATCAGGTTCTTTGGCATATGAAACAGCAAGAACTAAATGGAGCAAATCCTGGTCAACATTAAGAGGCACTAATCTCAGAGGGTTGGCAACAGAGTCAAGCCCAATTGGTAGAACTGATCTTGTCCACCACCAATCCAATAGGCGTGCAAATCCCTCATATTTTCAACATCAGCATGTGGGGAGAAATCGTTTGTTAGGCTGTAAAAGTATTCCTGGAGGTAACATTGATATATTATTATGAGGAGATAGTACCATAAATGAAACTAAGAACTCGTAGAAACTGAAGAAAATTTATATCTCGATTCCATGCTTTATACACATACTATGTTCTTCAACCGAATAAAAAATGCAGAGAGACCCTTCAGAGTAGATATAGAATCATAATAGTTAAAACATGCTTTGATATATATATATATATTTTTTATTTTTTTTCTGGTTGAAAATATTGTTGATTTTTGGGTGTGTAGAGCACTCACATGAGCGGAGCTTGGAATCTGAGCTCGTTAAGCAACTTAAAGGAATCACAAAGGTGTGAAATTTTTTATTTTATGAGGGCTTTGTTCACTTGTCAATATTGGTAATATAATCAAACTAAGTTATGGTTAAGGTGTACGAAGATTACAATGGAGTTTCCTGTGATTGAGTTTTCAATACATTTGTCTGTGGAATCAAATGGGGCAGCCGAACAGAGTGAACCTTGTTCAGCTGGGTCCAGGTCCAAGAACTCTCATGGTTCACATTCTAGGGGTGGAAAAAAAAACCCGGAAACCGAACCGGACCAAAACTGGACCAAAAATTTGGTTTTATTTCGGTTTCGGTTTGGATATTAAAAAAAAAAAAATCGGAAATCTGGTACGGTTTTGGTTTTTGAAAAAAAGAAAACCGGTTATCCGAAACCAGTTTTCTGAACTGAAATTTAAAAAAAAATTATTTTATGTTTTTATTTTGCATTTGCATTTTGCAATATCCCTAACACTCTCAGTCTCTCATGCTCATGGTCTCACACTCTCACTCACTTTCACTTCAGTCTTCAGTCTAAGTCTTCACTACTCCAGTCTCTAACTCGGCAACTCCACTGCTCCAGTACGACAGTACTCACTACTCAGATTCAGACTCACTCGCCGGCGTCGGTACTCAGACACTCACCTCAGTAGCTGTCAGTCTCCCACACTCTCAGCGACTCAGTCTCTGTCTCTCACTGACTCACTCTCTCTCGAACTCTCACTGTCTCTCACTCTCAGATCTTTGTTCTCACTTCTCAGTTCTCACGCCGGAGTCACGCGGTCACGCCTCAGCCAATAGCCACACAAATTTCTCACGTTGCTCATGCCACCGATCTTTGCTCACATCGCCGATCTTTGCTCACCGATCTGTTGCTTAACGGTCGACAGTCACCAGTCGCGGTCACCATTCTTCCTTTTTCTGTTGCTTCTGCTATGAAAGTAATATGAAATCAAAGTTTTTAAGAGGTTTATGCCTACTCATCAGTGGTTAACCAAGCGGTTATGCCTTTGGTTTGCTCCACAAGGTTTGAGGTTTTAAACTTGGTTTCTTTAAATAGAAAAACAAAACTAGAGGGTCATGCCACAAAAAAACATAAAATGGAGGAGTCTTGAAACTTTATTGTTATAAAGATTATGTTCATTTCACTTCTCATTTCTTAGTCTTATTTTATTCATTTCATGTGTTTGATTTGTAATTTTAGGATGTGGAAATGTGTTTATTATGTTTGATTTTGTGGATTTTGTGGAAACTACGTTGGCAACAAGGGACTATTTTTTTGTTTGTATAGTTTGTATATTTTTTAGTCTATAATTGAGTTTGTATCATATCTTTGTTTTTGCAATCTTTGATTTGTAATTTTAAATTATTAATATTTGATTGATGTACATTCAAATTATATGAATTCAAATTCAATTACAATAGATATAAGCTTATTAACGTAATTGAATTTACAATAGATATAAGTTTATAACTTTAAGTCATATTAAAAAAAATAAAAACGTGGAAAAAAAAAAGTGCAAAATGGAGTGTGCGAATTGGGCCAAAAAGGCAGCCCATAACTTATGGGCCATAAGTGGAGTGTGTGAATTGGGCCAAAAAGGCAGCCCATCATTAATTTTATTAACCGGTTTAAAAACCGGTTAATCGAACTAAATTTTTGGTTCAGTTTATAACCGAAACCGGACCGATTTCAGTTCAGTTTATTTTTGAAACAAAAAACCGGTTCGGTTCAAGAATCCGGTTAACTGGTTCAGTTAACCAGATTTTTCTACCCCTATCACATTCTTCGTGTATGATACAGTAATTACAGACATCTATCATTTTTATTAACAAGAAACAAGTTTCCGAATCGATATATAAGGGACATTTAAAGATAAAAAGATTTTGATTTAATTTAACCTAAGGTTTTTGGTTCCTATTTCAAGGATTTAGTTTATTCTCATAATTTAATTATAAGTGGTTATTTAAAGTAAACCAATTAATAAAAATAATAAAAGGGTAAATAATCAATTTAAGGATTCAAAAGGACTCAAGTAACACTTTTCTTGCACTTCCATAATAAAAAACTTTTAGCACCTTCATAGTTTGGAAACGAAAGGTTTAAATTTTAATTATGTATTATATATATTTAAAAAAAAAAAAAAATTTAAGAAAACCACTTCCACATATTTTGTAAATCTTATTATAATATTACCATATTATCAGAGTAACGTTACTTGCATATGAATCTTTATATCGTATTCTATTAAATCTTTATATCATATTATTAGACTAATATGAACGCATTTTTTTAAGTGGACCTTTCAGAAGAAGGAAACTTTCCAATTGAGTCTCTAGCTCATATGGGCCTCCAAGAAACTTCTTAGTGACCCTCTAGCCAATTTGGGCTTCCTGCAAAATCTCACATGGGCTCTTGCAAAATTATGAAGGAAATATATCAAAATTCTAAACTCTAATTCTTATACGTTTATTCAATTCATATTACATCAAAAAAATCTGTTGCATGCCTTCAAGATAATTACTAGGCAGAGAAAGCAATTTGAGCTTAGTAAGAGCACAAATTTGTGATGAAATGCTTCCGTAGAGATAATTCCATGTAAGATAGAGGCCTCCTATGTTTGTAAAGCAAGAAAAGTTTAATTGGCTAAACTCTTTGCCTCTGTAACTAGTGTAAATCTATGTCAATGATGCTTCCTTCTGTATTGGAGGCATGTTAAAAGAACTAAAGAAAGAAAGTTGGACTAAGCCTAGATGTTAGTTTGTAAAGTTGGATGATTGAGAAGAAATGTTTAACCATAGAAGTTTGAGTTTTGGAAAGTAGAAAATAAATATTCAATTAGTTAATAAAGTTGAAAAGTTTAGATGGTTGAGCAGAGACTACATAGCTATTTCATTGTAAAAATAGACACAGACTAACTAAAACTTAAATCAGTAAGAAAAAACAAGGCTTTAGAAAGAGACAAAACAACAAGAGAATACACTAAAAGGGTAGCCTATGACCACCACTATACCGTTCCACCAATATAAGATAGAGAACTGAAGTCAAAGTCTTTTGAGCTTAACTTTTGGGTAAGATAGAATGTTATAAAATGCATGCACTTCCACAAAACATGCCTTGACGAACTACAAAATCATCTAGCGGAAACTTTATGGTATAGCAATCATCCGTGTCATTGGAATTTAAGGGCCTACAATTGAAATAGACAACTGAAGTCAAGGTCTTTTTGGCTTATTAGTTGTTACGATGCATTGCTCTTATTTTCTTAGAGAATTGAAGTAATAGGTCTGATCATTAAATATTTCCACAAGTCACAAACATAAGAATGAAAATTGATGAACTATGGCTCCCCTGGCGATAGAGTAGCTCTGTCCAACTGTAATGCTAACCGTGGCACTAGAATGCTAGCATTCTTTATACCAAATGGTCCAAATGTTCTCACCATATCATCATGAAAATCTTTACTGGTCAACCAAGCCTATTATCACCCAACCTTAGATGTTAGTTCAGACTCAGACCTAAATATTAATTAAGCACCAAGAAAAAAGAGTTATGTTGTCCCTGTTTACTTCATTTTTGTAACCTTAAAATTCTCGGTCAGAAATTGGGTTGGTTTTGAACATGAAAAAAATTAACCGTGGATGATTCTTGGTCCTCTATTGTGTTAATTTCTCTTTTCCTCTCAATTTTGGCTTAAAGCTTTATTTTGAGAATCTCTGACATCTTTATTTTGTTGAGATAGACAAATGGACACTTGTCTTTATTCATGCTCAAGTTTTTATTTTTCATACTTGCATTCTTAATTAGTTTCTTTCTTGCTCAAATCTCAAAGAATACATTTTTCGCATAAGGTTGATTCAAGCTTACAGATCTTTTTAACTTGATCTTTTCATTTTGTTCATTAATCAGATAAATTCAGCTATTCAATTTAGATTCGGAAGATAGATTATGACAATATTTTGTCTGAGGTTGAAAGACCGTTAAAAAGTTTTAATTACTTTATTATAAAAAAGATAAAGAGTACATTAAGAGAAGCAACCTAAAAAGAGGTCAAATAAAAGAACTTGGTATAGGATTGTTACCACAGAACTGTGAAACACATCCAAGCCTAACCCTTGGATTTATCAACTGCAAATATATATTGGTTTCTCATCTCTAAGATGGAAATCTCATGAAAAGGTTTTGCTAATGGTGTCCTGCGGCCAAGAAATTCATGAGACACGCAGTGCATTGTAGGTTGTGACTTTGGTTTGGAACAGCAAGCAAATGCTATTCTTGAAATAAGAGCAATATCCTGTACGACCATTGTGTCCGCAACACATGGAAGGCGTGGGTCTAACAGATCAATAAGCATCATATTTTGATTAGAAGAAGATGATAATGATGAAAGTAGTTCTCCTGGATGACGACCCATCAATACTTCAAGTGCTACCACTCCAAAACTATAAACATCACATGTCTCCGTCACAACCATGGTGTAAGCAAGTTCTGCATAGAAAATTAGACATCCTTGAGAAGTAAAGATCTGTTCATCTGATTTATGTTCAAGCAATTAATGATATCAAAATGTTAAGTATATATAGATTCTAAAGATGTTGCTTCGCTTATAAGAGTCACAAATATCTATGAGAAGAGTAACTGAGTACTTCACCTGGGGCTATATATCCATAAGTTCCAGCTAATATGGTTCTATTGGAAGAGTCAGGATGTAGAAGTCTAGCCAATCCAAAGTCAGCAACAAATGCTTCCAATTTTGAGTTTAGTAGAATGTTGTTGCTTGGTAGGTCGTGGTGAACGATTGATGGAGTGCAGTCATGATGTAAGTAAGACAAAGCATGAGCAATATTCTTAACAATGTTTACCCTTTTACTCCAATCCAACTCAATAGCTTCATCATTGTTTCGTAGAACAGAAAACAAGCTTCCCCTCTTCATGTACTTATAAATTAAAAACATGCCTTTTTTATGTAAACAAAATCCATAAAGCTTAATAATATTCTGATGTCGTAATTTGGATAGTATATGAGCCTCATTTTGGAAATTGTTAAGGATAGTTGTCTTCTCAGCTTCTAAACTGTGTAGCTTCTTCAAAGCAATTACCCTACCATTTGGTAGTTGTGCCCTGTAAACACTACCATGACTCCCATTTCCAATGCAGTATTTGATGTCAAAGTCCTCGGTTGCTTCAATCATTTCTTCAAATGCAATTTTTCCATCATAATTCCAAATTGAAAACACATCTCTGGCCTTGGTTGCCCTTGTCTCGGGTTTAGCTTTTTCATCCTTACGTTTAAGGAGAATCAAGAATACGAATATTAAGATGGTCAGAATGAGAAATGTTGTGATAGGAAACAAAATTATAGGAAAACAATAGACCATATTTTGTGGTTTAGAATATGTAGGACTAGGAAAAGCAGGAAAACCTCCATCAACAGTTGAAGGGATTGATCTAGTAAAATTGTTACCAAACAAATCCAAAGAGATCAATTCGGTCAAATGACCAACATTCGAAGAGACTGATCCATTAAAATTGTTATCAAACAAGTCTAAAGAGATCAATTTGGTCAAATGACCAACAGTTGAAGGGATTGATCTAGTAAAATTGTTACCAGACAAATCTAAAGAGATCAATTTGGTCAAATGACCAATAGTTGAAGGGATTGGTCCGTCGAGTAGGTTTAATGACAAATTCCGTCTCATGAGATTGCTCGAGCTTCCAATTTTTGGAGGGATACCACCTTTAATTTTATTTGCCAAATAAAAAAAAAAAATTTGTCAATTTAATTTGATTAACCTGTTATTTGAAATGATAAACAAAAAACTAAAAAATAGTAGCGTACCTGTAAGATAATAATTATTGGATAGAGATAAGAATTTGAGCTTTGAAAGTACACCAATTTGTGATGGAATGCTTGTATGATACCGAAACTTTCAAGGTTTGGAAAGCAAGAAAAGTTNAGACATCCTTGAGAAGTAAAGATCTGTTCATCTGATTTATGTTCAAGCAATTAATGATATCAAAATGTTAAGTATATATAGATTCTAAAGATGTTGCTTCGCTTATAAGAGTCACAAATATCTATGAGAAGAGTAACTGAGTACTTCACCTGGGGCTATATATCCATAAGTTCCAGCTAATATGGTTCTATTGGAAGAGTCAGGATGTAGAAGTCTAGCCAATCCAAAGTCAGCAACAAATGCTTCCAATTTTGAGTTTAGTAGAATGTTGTTGCTTGGTAGGTCGTGGTGAACGATTGATGGAGTGCAGTCATGATGTAAGTAAGACAAAGCATGAGCAATATTCTTAACAATGTTTACCCTTTTACTCCAATCCAACTCAATAGCTTCATCATTGTTTCGTAGAACAGAAAACAAGCTTCCCCTCTTCATGTACTTATAAATTAAAAACATGCCTTTTTTATGTAAACAAAATCCATAAAGCTTAATAATATTCTGATGTCGTAATTTGGATAGTATATGAGCCTCATTTTGGAAATTGTTAAGGATAGTTGTCTTCTCAGCTTCTAAACTGTGTAGCTTCTTCAAAGCAATTACCCTACCATTTGGTAGTTGTGCCCTGTAAACACTACCATGACTCCCATTTCCAATGCAGTATTTGATGTCAAAGTCCTCGGTTGCTTCAATCATTTCTTCAAATGCAATTTTTCCATCATAATTCCAAATTGAAAACACATCTCTGGCCTTGGTTGCCCTTGTCTCGGGTTTAGCTTTTTCATCCTTACGTTTAAGGAGAATCAAGAATACGAATATTAAGATGGTCAGAATGAGAAATGTTGTGATAGGAAACAAAATTATAGGAAAACAATAGACCATATTTTGTGGTTTAGAATATGTAGGACTAGGAAAAGCAGGAAAACCTCCATCAACAGTTGAAGGGATTGATCTAGTAAAATTGTTACCAAACAAATCCAAAGAGATCAATTCGGTCAAATGACCAACATTCGAAGAGACTGATCCATTAAAATTGTTATCAAACAAGTCTAAAGAGATCAATTTGGTCAAATGACCAACAGTTGAAGGGATTGATCTAGTAAAATTGTTACCAGACAAATCTAAAGAGATCAATTTGGTCAAATGACCAATAGTTGAAGGGATTGGTCCGTCGAGTAGGTTTAATGACAAATTCCGTCTCATGAGATTGCTCGAGCTTCCAATTTTTGGAGGGATACCACCTTTAATTTTATTTGCCAAATAAAAAAAAAAAATTTGTCAATTTAATTTGATTAACCTGTTATTTGAAATGATAAACAAAAAACTAAAATATAGTAGCGTACCTGTAAGATAATAATTATTGGATAGAGATAAGAATTTGAGCTTTGAAAGTACACCAATTTGTGATGGAATGCTTGTATGATACCGAAACTTTCAAGGTTTGGAAAGCAAGAAAAGTTAGTCACTAAGCTCTCCTTCTATGTTATAAGGGTCAAAATATATCCCAGTGATGCTTCCAGCTGAATTGCAAGTGATACCACCCCACTCGCAATGATCTGAACTATTGTAGGTCATGTAGCTGGCAGCCCATCAAATGGTTTTAAGTAGAGCTTCCTTTTCTAATTCAGATGCTGCTACAACTATATCAGAAATATTAATTCCAACACAGCATGAAAAAATATAACCCATATGCCCACTACTCTACAAGTGAAGGATGTGAACACCATTTTTAAATTCTTTTGCTTGATTCTGTTGGATACTCCCAATACTTATACTAAGTTAAAGTTATAGCCAACCTCCATTTAATTGGTCTTGACTTCAGAAGACCTGGACCTTAATAAAATCTCCTTCAATTAAACAAGTCTTAGATTGTGACAGATGGCTGGAGTCAAAGTCCATCTTTTCGACTTTTTTTCCAGTAACGAGCCTGGAGCATTAAAATTTAGAATGTTATATTGCAAATCTTTTATAATCCATGCCTTTATTTAGATTTCATTTTTCTATTAAGACAGGCATATTTATTGTTAAGAAATTCATTTATAAATGAACTATTATAATAAATAAGAACACATAATTACTATGTATTAAACTTTAAAAAGAAAAAAGTAATTAAAGAAGAGAACAAACCAAAATGGAGAATAATAGAACCTAAAAATTTATTGTAATTTTTTTCTTTGTGCATATATTAATTTATTAAATCTTCAAAATAATATGTCTATGTTTTATTCTTCTTATAACCTCAAAATACTGTTCAGAGAGTAAAAAGAGCTTTAAGTATAGAAAAGAAATGGGATTTTAGTTGAACTCTTGGATAGTTTAAAGAACCAAAGAAAGAAAATTGGACTAAGGCTAGATGTTAGTTTGTAAAATTGGATGATTGAGAAGAAATGTATAAGCATAGAAGTTTGAGTTTTAGAAAGTAGAATATAAATATTTAATTAGTTAATTTTAATTGATAATTTTAGATGGTTGCATAGAAACTACATAGCTATTTCATTATAAATATAGACAGAGACTTATTAAAACTTAAAAGAAAAAAAGAAAAAAAAGAAAAAAAGGCTTAAAAAAGAGACAATACACTAAAAGGGTAGCCTATGGCCACCACTGTACACTTCCACCAAGATAAGATAGAGGACTCAAGTCTGTTGGTCAAAGAACGAAAATGCAAAAGAGCCAAGTATCAGGAGGAAAATGTAATTCTGCAAATGGTGTCGTTTCTGTTTTATAATAAAAACAGTTGTAAAACGACAGTACTTTAATCTTCTCCTACGTTTGCTTGTATAAAAGAGTAAAGCTTACTCTTCACTGTATATTGTAAAAACAGTTTACCAGTAAAGAAAAGTCAAACACTTTTTCTCTCCATTTTTGCTTATTCGCAAACCCTAAGCTAATTTGTCAAAGTCAAGGTCTTTTGAGCTTAACTTTTGGGTAAGATGGCATGTTAAACGTTCTCATAAAATGCATGCACTTCCACAAAAACATCTTGACCAAATACAAAATCGTCCAGCGGAAACTTCATGACATAGCAAACAGTGTCAGTGGAATTTAATGGCGATCAAAACAACACAAGCTAGGGCATGATGTTCCATGCACTAACATTGAAATAGACAACTGAAGTCAAGGTTTTTTGGATTCATTAGTCATTAGGATGGAACCTTGAGGATCTTCTCCAATGCACATTCACAAGAAAATTATGACCATTGGCCAAACAAGTAGCCATCAAGAGTAAGCTTCGCGGTATCTAAGTCCTTGCCATTAGAGTCGATTTTTGTGTAATCCAAAGAAGATAAAAGAATTATAGGCAACCCAGGTCAAAGCTTAAGAACATTAAATTATTGGAATTTTTGGCTTCTAAAATCTCTTGGCTTTTAGTAACCTGAATTTGAACATGAAAGAAATTAACTGAGGATGATTCATGGTCACCTTTTAATCCCAATGTCGGTGGAAGGGCTTTGCAGCTAAGGTGATTGCCTTAGGCCTCCCATTCAATCAAAGCCTCATTAAAAATATGAATTAATGTCCCCGTGTTCTCACCATATCATTGTGAAAACCCCAACTGGTCAGCCAAGCCTATTATCAGTCCACTATAGACGTTAGTTCAAACTCAAACCTAACTATTAATTAAGCACCAAGAAATTGGGTTAGCTTTGAACATAAAAAATTAGGTTGTGTCAATTTTTTATTTATTTACTCTTAAATTCTACCTCTTTTTTATTTAAGAGTTCATTTTTTACTCATAAATTCTACCTCTTTTTGACTTATGAGCCCTTTTTTACTCATAAATTTTTACCTATTTTTGACTCAAGAATCCTTGGACCTTAATAAACACTCCTACAATTAAACAAGTCTTTCAGTATATTAGACTATGATAGACAATCTGATTTAAAAGTCTTTTTGGNAGCTGGTGGTTCAATATGTGCCATCAAAACTTCAAATTGCTGATCTCCTGACAAAACCCCTCTCAGCTGCTCAATTTAGTGAGGTAAGACAAAAAATGACAGTCCTTGATGGTGCCAGTGTGAGTTCTGGTTACTGAAAAATGGCAGTCCTTGATGATGCCAGTGTTGAGTTCTGGTTACTGGTTCTGAAGCAGTTTAATGATGCCAGGTTTGAGTTCCGGTTGGTTACTGATTTCTGAATTTTTTTTACTGATTAAGTTTGCAACTGGTTGTGCAGATTTCTAGTCAGTTTTTTGTTTTGGTGATTTTTGAAGGGTTGCTACTGTGTAGAAAATTTGGCAGTGCAGAATGGGTTATGAATTTGGCAGTATAGAATGTGTTATGAATTTGGCAGAATGTGTTATGAATTTGGTAGAATGTGTTATGAATTTGGCAGTGCAGAATTTGGCAGTGTAGAATGTGTTTTGCATTTGGAAGTGCAGAATGGGTTATGAATTTGCAACGCAGATTTCTAGTCAGTTTTTGTTTTGGTGATTTTTGAAGGGTTGCTACTATGTAGAAAATTTGGCAGTGCAGAATGGTTTATGAATTTGGCAGTATAGAATGTGTTATGAATTTGGCAGAATGTGTTATGAATTTGGCAGAATGTGTTATGAATTTGGCAGTGCAGAATTTGGCAGTGTAGAATGTGTTTTGCATTTGAACGTGCAGAATGGGTTATGAATTTGGCAGTGCAGAATGTGTTATGAATGAAGAATGTGCTGCTGTGTTGATAGGTTGGCAGTGTAGAATGTGTTTTGCATTTGAAAGTGCAGAATGGGTTATGAATTTGGCAGTGTAGAATGTGTTATGAATGAAGATTGTGCTGTTGTGTTGATCGGTTTACAGTGCAAGAGCTGGTAACTCTGATTAGGATTGTACTATGAAGTTTCTTTTGTTCGTAACTGAATCTGGAAATGCTGACTCAAAACAAGGTTTGGTATTAAGTCTGCAACCGATAGTGCAGATTTCTAATCAGAGTTGGTGAACTTGATTTTTGGTGAAGTGAATATTGATGAAAGCTTGGTTGTTGAGTTGCAACAAAAATGCAGAACTGAAAAATAAGTTTTGAGTTTTTGATTATTTGAAAAGAAGTTGAGTTAGCTGGAACAAAAAATGCAGAAGAAGCTTGGTTGTTGAGTTGCAACAAAAATGCAGANACCAAAAAAAAAAAAAATTGTTCCCTTGTTTTCCTTTAAGAAGAAATCTATAAAATAAAAATCGTGAATCATGGATTTGTTCCTAAAGCAATAAGTTGAAAGTTAGGTAGCCAAATTAAACTGGGTTTTTTTCGCACTAACATCGGGGAAAATGGAAATCAACCAATAATCACATAATATTCAACTTGAAATCATGTTTTTAGATGACTCAATAATATTCAACTTGAAATCATGTTTTTAGACGACTCAATTCTCAACTTCCATATTTTTTTCAAATAAAAAAAATGATTTTTCTTACTCTATAAATTAGTACCATGTAACACTCTAAGGACTTCAGAACCCAAACCACAAGCCAAACTAGCCTCCTCTTTATTTCTCTAATTCCTCTCTCCCAATTTTCATAAAAGATGAACAGCGGTTCCTCTTCAGCTCCCTGCAAAAGGTAAGTAATATGTTGATATGTTCATTTGTATGATTAAACTAAGATAGCTATGGTTTTTAAAGTATGTTCAGGTGAAATACCGTTGAGTTAATTCAGATGTATTTAAGTATGATTTTGACAAAATTAATATCGGGACATATTAACCAGAGAATTTTTGTATTATACTTCTGTTATGTACTATGCAAGCCTCCATCTAGATTTGTTATGTACAACCTTAACCTAAAAATTTATCTATATATTTTCCATTATCCTTTGATATCAGGTTAGAAGGGAAAGTGGCAATCATCACCGGCGGAGCAAGCGGGATTGGAGCATCCGCCGTCCAAATTTTCCATGAAAATGGAGCCAAGGTTGTTGTAGCTGATGTACAAGACAATCTCGGCCAAGCCC